TATATATATATATATATATATATATATATATATATATATATTGTACATTTTCAATTTAAGGATTGTAAACATTACCTGTATCTTGGAATGTTGTCTTTGTTAGTTTTCTGTTTTTTATTTATTGTAAATGTGGAATTAGTCATCTTGTACATGTTAAGAGTTACATGTTCTCATTTTGGTTTTTTCTTAAATGTAGTTATTTTGTGGGATATTTATCAGTTCTTTGTGTGAGTCATTAAAGGTAATGGGTTGTGCTTTTGTATTTTTGAACATAAATTGTATTATTGCATTTTATTTAAAGGACTTGTATTGATGTGTATGTATTTTTAAGGATTTCAGTTTTAATTTTTTTGTCTGTCTGTTGAATTATTAAAGTTTTGTAAATATAAATAATGTAACATAATTTGTATCAAGTATTAAATTTGGTTTTTGAGCTTATGTTCATGTTAAATGGTTTTCGATGATGTATTGATGTTCTTTTTTAATCCTATGTGCATGGCTAGTGTCAAATTTCACATGCCACAAACTTTCACAAAGTGACATTCAACATGGTATTTTGTATTTGATGTCAGTGTTATCAACTATTCATTTTATCGGACATGGTTGATTTAGGGACAGTTCCTGATAGAATAGATACAATATATACAGATATTTGAAGAAAACGAATTGCAGATATGTATTTTGGAGGTTCTACAAATACAATATGCAAACTGTACATTGGACAAAAGTATTTTTATGCTTCACAAGAACAACATCTTGTCAGTCGGACTTTGTTAAACCACAAACACATCTTAAATACAAATACTTCTTTAACACATCTGAATTGTTGTGTACAACAGACTTCTATATTTTACCAAATGTTTTCCACATTTTGTGTAGATACCTGTAGTAAATTTGGAATTATAGTCAACATTTCTTCTCCAATACAAGGTTGTTCTTATCTGTGCACATTCGGATAACGGCCATCTTGTTATATTGTATTATTTTCTTATGTTAGTGTAATATTCCATTGTTATAAGATGTTAGTAAATCATTTATTGTAATGTCAGTGTTAAAGTGTATTTATTTTGGAAAATGATGTTTCATTATCTTTGTTAAAGGGGATAGATTGTATAGTTATACGAGTTTTCTTGGATGAGGTAATCAACTAAATACTTCATTGTTAAAATATCTAATTTGTCTTAATCATTGTTAAAGTTTGTTTTTTAAGCATATACTGCATCTTTGTTAAAAGGTATTGCTGTATATCTTACAGGGATAGAGTTACCATACTCCTTGACTGTGTGTGGGTATAATTTCAACTGGTTTTAAAATTAAGACTAATGTCAGCTTGAGTACAAGACAGACATGAAAGAAAGAGGGAAATGGTAATATACAAGAATACCAAGAGTTTTCTACTTCCTTATTTTATTTTCAGAATTAATCATTTATTTTGTGTAATGTGCAGTTTTTGCATGTGGTCAAGAAAGTCATTAAGTCACTTTTGTTCTAGATGCCTTTATTCTTTGTCATTCTCTTCAGGTAACATCCGGTTTTCCCATGGAGGACATGGCTGTGCATTTTTTCAAATTCCTAATACCTTACAACAAGTTTAATTTATAAAATGAAAGGACAAGTTTGTCTAATTAAATAACAGAGTTTCTGTGATGTATTATCTTCAGAGTGCTTTTCAAAGATAGTCTTTTTTTTTCAACTCAATCCTTATGCAGAAAAGTCCAACATAAGATAATCTGTACTTTTAACATTATTCAAAACAGCTGTTAATAACAATTATACTAAAAACTGGAAACTTAGAGAAATTTTAAAATATTCAATGAAGTGTCTATATTCTCCACTGGTCTTTAGAAGTATCACATAAATAATTGGTGCATAGCATATGACATGACTACTAATTTGGCTAGACTGTAGATCCTTGTTGGGCTACTGAGAAATAGATGTGATAAACATTACAATTACAACATTTGAAGTCTATTAATTGTTATGGTAAAAATCATTACAATAATTTTCCCATTTCCTGGAGAGGAGTTGCCCGAGTTATACTAGTACATTGACAAATGAAATTTTAATTTTGACTTACTTTTTAAACACTGCCTTAAAAAATTAATGAATGAGGAACCAAACTAAATATAACTCGTTTGTTCTGTATCAACAGTACAAAATATTTATATAATAAAACAAGACACAAAGGCAAGTGATGGTGGTAGAGCAATTTTATTTATCAGCAAGATTTTACAATTTTATTACTAAGTTATCTTACCACCAAAGCGAAGTCAAACTCACAAATAATAAATATTTTCCAAGGTTTAATTTTTCCCCTAATAAGTTTCTTTTTTTCAATTATTTTAAATAATGAAATTATTTTGGATGTTACTTATATATACTTAAGTTTTAATTTCCTTAATTAACTAAGACTACATATTCTGCAACTTTTCTAAGAAATTATTTGGCCAATAAAATAGAAGCTATACATGACAGACTAACTTTCTAAGGTCAGATTTCCCTCAGTCAAGGCTAACACATTCACATACCTTCTAAGAATTAAAATGATTTCATGAGCCAAATGGAAGGTAGAATAGAGCTAAGTAATATTTTGGATATGCTATCAGATAAAGCTAAGCATATATCATGTTTTTCCTATGTAATAAAATTGTACAAATTACTAAAAGTGTCAAATCTCATATACATATTACAACATCATTTAGAGTATATTAGTAGCCACATAAAACTCACATTTTTTGTATTCTTTGAATATTTTAATTCATTTTTACATTATACAGGGCGATGTAAAAGTCATGCATCATTACCACAATCATATTTTCAATTCTCATCCTAAATATAATATTTCTAAGTTTCTTTTTCTTTTCTTACAGTAACTGGTTTGGATATTGTTACGATTTCCAAAATGAGTGGAAGTGGCACTTTTGCAACAGTGTGTTGTGATATCAATTTTACTCATATAAAACAGGTGTTAGGGAAAATCATAGTGGTGCATGACTTTGTATCATTCTATATATAATTATATTAAAATGGTGAACTACTAATTAAAACGTTATCATAACAAATTTATCTTACATTCTGTACTTGATTCCTTTTTTACCACAATGGAAATTGCTCATCTAAATATGTTAAGAACCTATTAACAGGTCATATGAAACACAAAATTAGTTTTAATGTGGCAGGGAAGGGGGCAAAAAACTCACCTGATGACCAAGACTTTAGTTTAACAGATTACTCAGAAAAGTACTGCTCAATTAAGTATTTGTTATGTTCCATAAATCTTCAGTTAGTAAATAAATGGGGGGGGGGGACAACATTATCAATTTAAAAACATTCACATGCACCCAAGAAATAATTAATTGTATATAACCTGCTCCAATCACTTTAAAACCATAACGTTACATCGTTTTTGTGGATTGAAAGCTCAGTAAAGTCCAATCCAATTGTTTATTCATACATTTCATGAAAGGCAAGGAAGTATTTTGTACATCAGTTTATGCTTTGTTTTTGCTTCAAATAAACAAGATTTAAAAAATAGAAGTAACATTATCATGTTAATGTTTCACACCAAGTCAATGTGCATTGAAATTATAAACACCGATTGTCTTAAACTTTCAACAGTCAAAACATCACTTTAAGTAATAGTTGTAATAAAATAGTATCAAAATGCTTTCTTCCACATGATGTACACATTTTCAACTACTGCATTATGTTTACATTAATCTCTAATTGCATACGGACATCTAATACCATAAAACAAATGGCCAGGAGCACCGGTAGACGGATCCGAGACTCCCATGCCAAAGAAAAAAAGAACCTCAGTGTGTGATTTAGTGTTTTACACACAGGTAGCATGACTATATTTATCAGTTAAAAGTATAAACTATGTAACACAATGACACTAAAGGCAGTTCATAAGCTAAGTAACTTTTACTACTATTAATTTAATTTACTTTGAAGCTTCAAACTCTTAGAAAATATTCTTTGACCTGATGAAAATAATTTGTTGAAAAAATATACCCTTAAAGACACTTTGGTATAATCAAAAGTTCTGTTAAATTACTTAAGAGGAAGAATTAGTTGAAGAAGAAAAAAAACTCTTCAAAGCAAATCCTTTCTGAAACCTCTAGCTAAAACCAAACTAATATTTTTTCTTAAAATATTTTATAAAACAAAATTACTTAAATGGCTCTTCTAATTATTATTTTTCAATGTGAATTTAAATATTCAGTACACCACTGGTTTCTTCATGAACTAAACAATCTCTAGTAAAAATGTTTTGTTTTTTTTTAAAATGGTTGTGGTCTAGTCTCTGATAAAAGTTCTCATGTAGCCTCCAGTAAAATTTCTCTCTCTCTCTTGCTTCAAGAACTTTGTCTTCTCGAGTAAAACTTCTAGTTTTTTCAAGACAAGTGTAGTCTAGTAAAACTTCTCAGAGTTTGATGAAAACCACAACTTTAAATAAAAGACCATGTTCTTTTAGTGTCATTTCAGTCTCATGCAAACTTATTCCTATAAATAAACAGAAATAATATTAAAAACCTTAAAAAATGTATAAAGTCCGTGTTCTTGAACATAATTTAATTTATTCTTTAAGGCATTGTAATGGTACACTTTCAAGAATACTCAAAATTATTTCACTATCCTTCACATTTAGAAATTAAATGAAATACCTACAAACTGAGTTTTCAAAATAATTCAAACAAACACCTTATCAATTAAACAAAGCATTTTGCTTTCATAAGTTTAAATGAAAAAAAATTAATGTTAATGAATAAGGATGAATCTAGACATTCAAAAAATAAATTACCACTTATACTCAAATTCGACCCTAACTTTAAACTTTATTATTATCTTCTTTTTTGAACCATCACTCAAACAAACCACCTGTAAATTTCAAGAAGACTGACTATCAAAATCTCATAATTTTAAGGACGTTTGCTGACACGAAATATTTTACTTTCTTGTCACTGTCAATGTTAACAATTTTCATTAGGCCTCTTAGTCTTAGTAATATTACGTGTAAAAACTAAGTAGTTTCGTGCTGTTGCCACTGTCAGCAGACGTTGCTTTATCACTTTTAACATTTATAAATTACAAGCTAGTGTTACTGGAGCATAGCAAAATTAATCTAACAGAAAGCCGTTCTGCACATCTGTTTTCTCTGGAACAGATTGGCTAAACGAACGGCTTTCTGTTAGTGTTATTAGTATTAGTTACTCAGCGTTAGTGTTGATGTAGTATATAATAAATAATATCAATAGTATATTGTAAGTTGTAGTTGTACGTGATTAAAATCAAATGTTATTTCATTAAATTAATTTTCAATCATTTGACGTAAAACTAAACTATCTGGTATCCACATTTCTATTTGTAATAATATTAACAATACTGTACCATCTTATTTCATTCTACTATGATTTCTAGTTTCAAGGTGAGGTTCCCCTATAGTTTAGCTGCCTCAAACCTAAAATACACTAACCCTAACGCCAGCCATTTAAAACATTCGTCGTGGCATTCGTTGCTAGCCAATTGTTTGATAACTAATATTGTTACTTCTAACAGAGGACGCCTACATAATGAATATATATATATATATATATATATATTATTTGTAAGTGATGTAACAAATATTAATTCAGACTCTGTTAGGTACATTTTACATAATTCGATATGCATATTAAGCATTTTTTATTTTATTTCTATTATAGTAAACCAATAATAAATCAGTTATTTGAGTGTCCAGTTTATCTATATATATTCATGCTGTAATATTTCCTCTTTGCCCATATATTTATTGGGTGGGGGGTTTGACATGAACTGGTGGTTAGGGCGCTTGGCTCGTAGTCTAGGCCGTAGGCTGGAATCCCATCACCAAACATACTCGCCCTTTCATCTGTGAGGGCGTTATATAATATGATGGTTAATTCCACTTTTTGGTTGGTATAAACTAGCCATATAGTTCGATGGTTTTGACCACCTGCCTACCCTCTGGTCTATCACTTTTAAATTAGGGACGGCTAGTACAAGCTCTCGAGTAGCTTTGTGCGAAATTCAGCAACGAAGTATATTTTTAGGAAAAGAAACCTCATTTTGTCTAATATTATCGGACTGTTAAATAATGTCTGTTTTCTTAGCTTATGAAAATTGTTTGAAATAAGCTTCAGCTTTTAATCTAATCCACAGTTTT